AACGGCCAAGAAACAGAAAAAAAACGACGAAAATTTCAAACAATGTCTCTAATTATCCAAAGAACTCTAGCTGTCTAAATAAAGATATAACACGTATTGAATAGTGTTCTATGAATGTTGAAAAAATTCTGTTACTTCATCTCAAACAGTATAACTCGTATACACTATTAACTTGGAAAAGGGCATGCAACAAGAAACAGAAGTCATTGTGCTCAAAAGAAAAAGATAAAACATGCAGAACGAACAAAAAATAATAGCTGAAAGTTCATGCAGATTTCGATTAGTGAGCACAACTACATCTCATTGGAATTCCGATTACCAGAATTCAATACAATTCACATGAATTTTTCACTTGTGATCGTTTCAAACATTTTCACCATGAGTACTCAATAAATTCAGCGCTTATAGGGAGTTCTGGCAAAGCCGGACGTCCGGACGGTCTTTTCTGCGCAAAAAAGTTCTTGTTTTTCGTACTGCGTGTAATTTGAAAAGACATGATTTAAAACTGAAGTGAAAGGAAATAAAACTTGATCTTATTTATAGTTCGAACGAGCAATGCAGCGTTGTTGTGATGTTGTTCAACAATAAACTTTTAAATTGATTTAGTTTCAACTCATTAATCATTTTATATCAACTCATTAATACTAGTGGGAAGGTTGAGTCTCTAGTTTTGTTTCAGTATCGTTTTCTTCCTTAAAATGATATGCCCTCTTTCACTAAATGATGATGTGTCGAGCAACATGAAACGTAAAGGAGGATTATTGATTTTTTTGGCAGACCATATCAGATCACCAGCATCTCCAAAAAACAATACATCTGCTGAACAAACGTTCATTTCTGCATCGTCTCCAAAACCAACTTCCGATGATGTTACCTCTTCATCTTCGTCTGACATTTCGTCTTTAACATCTTCGTCATCCACATCGGCAGTCAGTCCAAAAATCGATGCTAAACTTTCCTTCAAAACGCCAGCTCAGCAACAACGTACAGAAGAATTAAATGAGCGATTTCGTCCAGATGAACCACATAGACCACCGTTAGAAGCTGGTCAAACGGCATTACATCAAACGATATTGGAAATGACAACACCACATGCGTCAGCCGATGATCGTCGACGAACAGAAACATTATGTAGTATTAAAACATTAGATGATCTTTGTAATGAGTTAAATAAACGTGGATTTCAACTCAGTCGTTCAGCTACTTACTTACGCTTGTTACCCAGTAGATCAAATACGTTTGAAGATCAGTACTTTAAATGCTGAAGGTTACCTGTTCTTTTCAGCACAATTATTTTTACCTGCCGCTTTTGATTTTAGGAAAAGACACGTTCACACTGTGTCAGTGGTATTAGTTCGAGCACAAAACACGGGACGAAAACAACATTCGGACACCATTACTTATTTGAAAGATTTGGCACAATTATTCGGACCATTATCTATATTCGTTCTGTCACAAGATGATAAAGCTCGTGTTCTACTAGGTCTTCCTGCAGCCAAAAAACAAGCTCCTATTTTAATTCATCTGGAATATCGTGTACGATTACCGGATCATGATTTTGTTATCGCTGATCGACACAAGTTAATATCATCAGTTTATGCCGATTTAGCTTTCAAGAATCATAGTATTTCATATTCAGGACCAACATTTATAGCTATTAGATCAGGAAAACATGACAGTTCAACGGCATAATCACATTTATCTGAACTTAGAAAATGTTTACAACTGGATTCATTTAAAAGTCATGATTTATGTAGGTTTTTCGACTTCGTGTGAGTCTGCTGAGATCTATTGCAATGCCTTTTCTGTGTTATAGCCGGTCTTATTCTGCCTCATGATCACTTTGGTACACATTTGAATGACAGTGGAAAATCCATTGATTTGGAATTGGAGAAAAGAAATTTTGAACGTGCTGGTGGTGAGGACTTTAGTAAAAATAAACTCCAGATAGGGTGACTGAGGTTTTCTCTGTCTTTTCTTTCAGAAGTGCTTTCGGAAGTGTGGAGTGATACAGTTATTGATGATTTTTCAGTCGTTGTCAGTTACATGTCTTCGGAATATGAAGTGAGAAAAAAAATCTTTTTTTCCACAAAAAAGAAAAATCATTTTTCTATTCTACTGTTCTCATTTTTTCTCCGCTTTCTCCCCATTATTTCTGTATTCTAACAGTAACCATAGAAAGACATATTAGCTTTCATATTATTTATATACAGACTTATATTCATTGCCGATGAATATCGTTCCTCACTTGCCATGTGCTTTTGAAAGAACTCGTCCACGTTAGTATTACTTTGTTTTATTGCAACCGGGTACTTTCTGATAAAAGGAGTCCGAAATTCCTAAAAAATCGTGTATTAATTGTACTAATCTTGTACAAGTCCTTCGTGCACAAACATTCTTCTATAGGAAATTTCCTCTTGTTTTATTTTGCTATAATTGTATCTTATTCTTTTGTCTACAATCTTATTTCTGTGATTCAGGTATAGCAAATTGAAAAGAAATTTACAAGTTTGAATGTAAATACCTAAAGAAAAGGAAAAAAATGAGAATCGTAGAAATGCACTTCATAAAACAAAAAGAGAATTTTTCTTTTTGTTCGAAAAAGAGCGTCTTTCATGGCAACAATGAGAAGGTAACATGTGAAGTGACTACGATAGATAATAAAGACAGATAGATACTGTCTGTAAATTCCCATAGGCAAATTTTGTTTTTACGACTGAGGTGGTGCAGTTGTAATATTAAATGCATTGTCACATGTGAACTTTCTATAAGTTCACACACATTGATTTGTGTGGACACAAGCAAGAATTTCTTTGCACATGTGTCCACACACCATTTTACGATGTTCACGTGCGACCAGCAGTTTATTTCACAATATTCACAGGTGTACACGCCGTTTTATATACTAAATTTTTCCCATGGATGAGGTCAAAAATCTTTTCATAAAGTCTTGAAGGCTATCGTTACAGGTGTAAGGTCCCAGTTCCAATAATGTAACATTTTCTCTGCAACTGACAAATGTCTGACATCGTCATCTACTAGTACAAGTCATCAAGTAAGCTCTGCTCTGTGATATGAGATGACGAGGATAGAAAAATGATTTTCGCTTTTGTGGGAAAAAAAACTTTCCCACTGCGTTGTATCTGCACTTTTGAATAAAAAGGAAGGTCTTTGTTAAGCATGTATGAAAGGAAGAAGGAATGAAAGAAAAATAAGCAGTTTTACTACGCGCCTACAGACAATGTTTATTTGTTGTCATCGTCTAGCTGTATTCACTTCACATGTTAATTTCTCGTCGTTGCGCAGGTAAGGCACATATTGGCGTCTGGATTTCTGATACAGTTCGTCTGATAATTCGTTGTATTCATGTTTTAGAGTTTCATATTTCGGTAGTGTCAAGACGTCACATCCATCACTCATTCGTGTCGAAAGCAAAACTCTCCGTTTTACTCGTGAATCATGGTTATCCGCCTTTTTTTAATGCTGGTTCGGAGGTCAGTTTATGTCGTGCTGTTATATGAATTTCGGTACTTAAAACGTGTGCTTTTGCTTTAATACAGGTGTATACTCAAACACTGGCAACACGTTTGAAACAAACAAATCGATGTGAATCTGTTGCTGTCTTATCACGTGAACAAAATCCGTTTGTATCAGATTTTTCTATTCGACAAACGTATGATGAACAGTTATCCTCGTTGCCTGTTTATCTGATGAATCATGCAAGAGAGGCTCCCTATCAAAGGTTTGTAAATGAAGACATTAATACAGCCTTTAGTCAAGTGATGCGCAATGTTAAGCCAAAAATAGTTCATTTTGGACATCTGAATCATTTATCTTTGGAATTAGTACAGATTGCTAAAGAACTGCATGCTAAAACAGTTTATACGCTACATGATTTTTGGCTTATGTGTCCTAGAGGTATGATCACTAACAGCGTATTATCTGAATAAATAATTAGATTTCTTTTAGGGCAGTTCTTAGTAAATGGAGTGGCATCAGCGTCACTTGGTCAGAAATCCTATGAACTTTGTACCTCACAAAATCACAAAAAATGTGCCACTAAATGTTTTACAAGTCGTTTTTCAACAGGTAATGTTTCTACTTCTTTCTAACATGATAAAAATGAATTTTTTGTTGTTATCTCAAGGGACTATAGAAGATGCTGATAGTGAACTAGCATACTGGACATGGTGGATTTCAAAACGGATGGACGCTGTAAGAAAAGCATGCAATTCAATTGATATGTTTCTCGCACCATCGTATCATTTACGGAATCGTTTTATTTCGGAATTTGGTTTATCTACTGAAAAAATTCGTTATATGCCATACGGTTTTGATCGTTCAATTTTTTCTGAAAAAATCAAAAGATATAGAAAAGAGGGTGATCCATTTGTTTTTGGCTATATTGGCCGACATTCTCCATCAAAAGGTTAGTTCAGACTTTACTATCTTAAGCTCTTTCGGCAATAATTTTTCAAAATTTTACGAGGAATCAATTTACTACTTGATGCCGCATCTCATTTAACCAAAGATGAACCGCAGTTAGCAAAACAATTCAAAATAATTATCTATGGCCGTTGTGATACATTTGCTACTTCAAGTCTTCGAGATATGATCAGTCCAAATGTCACGGTCGAATGGCGTGAAGAATATAAAAATTCAGAAATTGTCTCACGAGTATTTAATCATGTTGATGCCATTGTTGTACCATCCATATGGGATGAAAATTCTCCATTGGTTATCCATGAAGCGCAACAAACGAAAGTGCCAGTGATAACTGCAAATCATGGAGGAATGGCACATATACTCTGAATCTTCTTTTGTCCATAGATGGCCAGAATATATTTCGAGAGTCGTTTTACGCTTAGAATTATGTTCCGAGACTCAAGCGACATGTACTGAGTTACCTAATTTTGTGACTTTCTGCTCTTCTTACTTCTTAGATTTTTGATCAGATTTTCATACAACCCTTGCTCTAGCTTATGTATGAAAAGATGGAATGTGAGACGAATAGGTTGAGAAGAGGAGAGAAGAGAGTCAGAAGATCAGAATATGAGATAATCAGAGCATATAAAAAGGAACGGGTGAGAATATCGTAAAAGGCAGAAGACTAGGATATGAAACTGCATTGCAAGTGCAGGGAACTGACGTTTTGATATGATGAGGATGAGCCGCACTAGAGAAGCTGACAGTATCATAGATGTAACCGGTCAAGATTGTCTCGATGGAGCCGGTAACCAGTCGAAAACTTTCTGACCAGGCCGGATCGGTCATATATTTTCCCAGTATGTAAGTGTAAAAGACTAACGACTGTTGAGTGTTAAGGCTACCGGAAAAACGTCCATAGCTTTCGAACCATCTATTTCCAAGATGTCCCTTGAATACAGTTTTTTAGAGGATACTTCGGACTATATACGTATGAAAAAAAATCCATAGATTTCTATGCAGCTTTCAGAGAATAACTGGTTTTTCACAGATCTTCTGAAAAAACGATCTTTGAAATTTTTCCAAACTCGTTTTTGCTTATGAAAACATAGCCTCAGGTATTAGCTAGTGAATTATGCAAACCGCAAGTCTCTATCTTTTATTCCTCTTGAGTTATTCAAAAAATAACCACCGGCCTTGTATTTTAGCGCCGATAATTGTGCAACAAACATTAAAAAAGAAAGAAAAACGAACGGAATATTCACATAGCAGATATTACCAGTCCTGCTCTCGAAGACTTTCAGAAAAGCAAACTAACTTTCTTAATCTGAAATATGAAAAGCTTTGTTTTACTTAGCTCAGCAAACTCGTTTTCGACAAAGCACTTATTTTTCAGACGAAAAAAACATTTTTTTTCTCGACCGGCCAGTCAAATTAATTTTCTTTCGGCAGAGCGGCCGGTTGCCGGTATCGGTTACATCTCTGGACAGTACGAGATCTAAGGTAGATATGTGCGCCGTATAAGACGATCTGACTCGCAGAATAAATTTCATACTTTGACACCGCTCTGTCACACAATTCCTAACTGTTTTTCATCACAGGGTGAATTAGTGAAAGATGGAATCAATGGTTTAACATTTGAACATCGTAATTCAAAATCTTTGGCACAAGCAATGTTACATGCTTTGCAAAATCCTGAAAAAATGGAAAAACTTGGTGAAAGAGGTTACATTTACTCATCTAACGGAGAAGTACCATGTGTGAATGAACATGTCGACGAAATGTTGAAACTTTATGACGAATTAACTAACACACAATCATATATTCCCAATAAAACTGTTCAAGAACCAAAACCACTTACATCTCTTTCAGCACCATGGCGTATTACCTTTGACACAAATCCCGATGATTGCAATTTTAGTTGTGTAATGTGTGAACAACATTCCGAACATTCACCTCATCAAAAAGCACGAAAAGAACAAAAAATTCGACGACGACGAATGGATTTTGAAGTAATGAAGAAAGTAGTTACCGAAGCGGCTCCATTAGGTTTAAAAGAAATTGTATGTAAATAATTTTAATTTGTTGAATAGGCGAGTTTCATGAAAAATATTTTCGTCGTATCTAATCCCCAACAAAACATTTTTTAAAACCCTCTGGAGAGTTTGGGTTTTAGACCATGCTGGTTCTAATGGCATTCTCAGTTTTGTCACATTGTAGAACGGCATCAATAGAACGCCCAGTTTTCTGTAAAATCAGTTTTTCAGAAACTCGGAAAAACAACCAAAGTTTTTCTTAATGAGCCATGCTTGTAGCCCACACATTTCTGATTAAAATGAGATCTCTCCCAACTCTACAAGGCCTTTCTTTGCAAAGTTATAGAATTTACAAGAAAAGCCCTAAATATTCATTGTCAACTCAAAGCTGCAGAAATCAGAAGAAATTAATTTAGAGCTTTTCTTGTAAATAACTTAACTTAATATACTATAATTTTGCAAAGGTCAAGTAGAGTTGGGAGAGGTCTCATTTTAATCAGCAATGTGCGGGTTACCAAGCATGGACCATTAAGAAAAGCTTTGGTTGTCCTTCAGAGTTTCTGAAAAACTGATTTTCCAGAAAACCGGATGTTCTAAGCGATATGACAAGACTGAGAACGCCATTAGAACCAGCATGGCCTAAAACCCAAACCCCCCAGAGGGTTTTAAAAAATGTTTTGTTGGGGATGAGATATGAAAAAAATATTTTTCATGATACTCACCTATTTTTCATTTCTATCTTATGTTTTTTCAAAGATTCCATCGACAATGGGTGAACCATTAATGTACAGAGATTTAAAAGGTCGTACATTTGAAGATATTATTCAATTATGCCATGATCAAAAGATTAAATTAAATTTAACTACAAATGGTTCATTTTTTTCACCTCATGGTCACTCTGTTGAACAATGGGCTCAAGCACTCGTTCCGGTACTCTCGGATATTAAGTTTTCATGGAATAGTGCAACCAAATGTACTCAAGAATTAGTGATGAAAAATTCAAAATTTGAAAAACAGGTTTGAATATTTAGTTGTGATAGTTGGTTTTTTATTATTTGTCTATCTTTTTATAGTTATCAAATTTGAAAACATTTATATCTATTCGTGATAAAATAGCAATAGTTACGTTACAACTTACTTTTATGGAAATTAATTTATCAGAAATTCCTGATGTGAGTCTATCCATCTCTGTTTCTATGATGAAATGGATGATAACATTCTAAAAAAATAAAATTTTTTTTCCTAGATTGTAAAACTTGGTATTTCGTTAGGTGTCGATCGTATTAAAGGTCATCATTTGTGGGCTCACTTTACCCAAATAAAAGATCAAAATTTACGTCGATCGCCTGACTCCATACGACGCTGGAATAAAATTGTACAAGAATGTCAAACCATTGCCCAAAATCAATTATTACCGAATGGAAAACAGGTATCATGTACATACACAAATCATTCATTTTATGAAAACTTCCAAGGACATGTCCGTTCTCCGAAGGAGATGGAAGTTTGTAGTTTATTTTTATAGAGACAATTCTATTCGAAAATGGACCACGGAAAATGTTAGGGTTTACATAGTCTTAAAATAGCGGTATATAGTCTTAAGTGGGGTTTGCATAGTCTTAATTTCTTGTTTAGAATAGGCAAGATTGTTAGTAGACAAGGCTGTAGAAATATAGTCGCACCAGTGTTTTTGCCAGAAGGCTTGCTGCTCTTAGTAAAGATCACGGACGTTTTCACACTTTTATCTCCACAGAAGAAAACTCTGACAAGCATTTTCAATACATTTTTGATTATTTTTTAATGTAGATTAAACTGGAAAATGTTTTCGAATTAAGTGAAGATAGTGGGACATCTTCAATTCATCCCGAATCAACTTGTCCATTTCTTGGTAAAGAAGCTTGGATTAATCATAGTGGACGTTTTGATCCGTGTTGTGCTCCTGATCAAGAACGATTATCACTCGGTAGTTTTGGAAATATTACTGATCCAAATCAACAACTAATGAATATTTGGAATGGTGCAACATATAAAAACTTAGTTAAAAATTATTCATCATATCCACTATGTCAAAATTGTAATATGCGAAAACCACCAACTCAACAACATTCGTAATTTATATAAATGAAAAAAGTTCTCTTCAATTCACACACGATAATGATCTCTTTTTGTCGTTCAATTGTTTTAGTGGTACTTTACGTTTGTATATGAATAATAATAAAAAATAATGCCATTGAGACTAATAGTTTTCTTAACTTCTATGAAGTCTTCTTTAACGAACATTAGCTTTTTTTGGATTAGAGATATACGTTTTTACAAGAGAATCTTTGAACTTTTTAAATGCATACATTTTAGACGTTAAAAATGTCATACTAATCTATTCCAATAGTCTGATTTGACATTGTATTTTTAAAATGATTAACGTTATACAATGAGAACGAAGGCAATTCGAGGATATCTAAAAGTTGTAAGTAAACTCAATTATACATCGCTGGATGAAATGATTAAAATGTGAAAAAGTTTCTTTTAGTTTGTTCGAAGTTATTGGAATAATTCTGAAGTATCATCTGATGGAACACACCATGTTTATCGAAATTCAAATGAACAACTTTATCAACAACGTTTCAAATGGGTCCTTCCGTTTCATTCACCTGGTTTAGCACCTGTTGAAGACGATAGTGGCTCATTTCATATTAATGATCATGGAAAAGCAATATATTCTCAACGATATAAACGTACTTTTGGTTTTTATGAAGATAAAGCAAGTGTTCAAGTAAGTTACTGTCACTTTTATTAACCAAAATATATATATCGTTTGTTGGATGAAATGAAAAATTTGACTCTTTTTAACATTTAATTACGCTAATTTTGACGTTTTGATCATAAAAAGATCTTCTTACTGTACGCACACATGTAAATGTACAGTTATAATTAGTAAGCATAGAAAATAGGTAAAAAATTCTCTTTTTTACATATCAGCCAATGCACGTAAGCCACGACTTACACTGTTGAGGTTGAAAACAAATTTCGACTTGTTCGATCCCACCAAAGAGCAAACACTTCTGAGTAACATGACGTTTACCGATTGTAAAAGTAATGTATGCTTTCTGAGCTATGAAGTTTTCAAAACTGGTCCCGAGGCCAAACTAGCGGTTTGAGCATGAGGCACCAGTTTTAGTAAAATTAAAATATCTCAGCTTTGTAAAGTGATAGAGAGGCCGGGTTTGCGTCATCATTTAACTTGATGCTCAGAATACCGACAGAATTATCTTTTCTGCACGAGGGGAAACATTTTACCACTTGCATCATAGTCAAGTAGTTACTGTGTAAAATAGGAATAACACCTGCAGGCGTTTTACTGAATAAACACTGAGAGATGATGAAACGCATTTTTTTTGAGACAAAAGTAACAGTTTTGTTCAAGGTCGAATGACTCATCTCGAAATGTAATTTTTGACACTAAGCATGAATATGGCGTTGGTTTTCGATAAAAAAGTTTTTATGGGAGAAAATCGAGTTCTAATACTCAAACACCCGGTTTTCTCTACGAATCTAAGAATCTCAAATTTCTCTTTTTATAGCCCTGTACAGTAACTACTTGACTACATTATGATGCAAGTGATAAAATGTTTCCCCTCGTGCAGAAAAGATAATTCAACAATAGCACTAATACCAAAAAAACGATGATCATCCTTGATTACGTGGCACATGTGACTGGGGTCATCGGTAGTCCGGGCATCGACTTGAATAATGACGCAAACCCGATCTCTCTATCACTTTACAAAGCTTTCAATCGCTAAATGTCATGATGCTCAGAAATGTTTGCTCTTTCATGGGAGATAGAAAAAGGTCCAAATTTGTTTTGAGTCTGAACGGCGTGGATCGTGGCTTACATGCAATGGCTGATATAGACCGTGAGTCGCATGACGGAGATCCCTTTTTTGCCGATTATAACTTGTATATATTCAAATTATAAGTTACGTTTGTTACGCAGCTCATCAGCTAAATATCAGAACGATCGTTTCGGAGTTTTAAATTTAGTACGATCTTCTTTGTTTCACCGCTCCTACTACAATAATAGGAAATAGACTGCAGCTGCCTGATATTAGATATTGATGGCTAAATTGTAACCCGTTCTTTGATATTGATTTAATCAGCAGAGATGTGTTTATAACTAACTAAACAGATAATATAACGAGCGTGAATAAAAGTGAATGAAAACACATGTATGTGTAGTATCATCTGGAGATGATGTCTGCTAGATTCAAACATCAAAATTAACGTAAAGGCGAGTCCAGTTCACTTCTCCATTCTCAACCTTAATCACCTATGTCATTTGCGTGTATAGAATGAACAGTACTGGTATCACATTTCACCAACAGGTGATACGTGTTATAAAAATATTTGGCAATGGTGTGGAAATTATCAATCTGAACGTTGCACTGTACGAGATTTCAATCATCTTTATTTTCATATTGATCAGAATGGAAAGATTGTATCGGGTCCACATTCGTATGCGGGAGATTTTCGAGAAGTAAACATTCAAAATTTTCCAAATGTGTTGTGTATTTGTTTTTGTGTTTTGAAGGCAGCTGCAGTGATTCAAGATAGTACTGATGGGCTGTTTTATGCTATTGATAAATCTGGTCGAAGATTACATGATGGCAAAGGTTATTTTGATTTGGATATATATCATAAAAACTATGCTCGTGCTCGTGATCAAGATGGCTGGTATTTTATTGATAGATCTGGAGCAGATGCCGGCAACGGATGTCGTTATTCTCAAATAGAAAATTTCTATAATGGTCAAGCATTGGTACAATTGTTTGATGGGCGACGATGTGTGATCAATGAACAACATCAAATAGTGGAACAACTAAAAGAATCGCAAACAGAGAATATATCTCAATTAGAAAAGGTACATAAATCTGACTTATTGTTTTAAAATTGAAATATTCTTGTAATTTCAGCTCTCTCAGGCTTATTGGTCTCCATTTGCACTTAAAATTGGTTTGGAGTTGAAGTTGCCCGAACAAATAGAAAAGAAAGACGTTAATGAAACAGAAATGCTTGAACATGTTTCTAGAGTATGGAAAGATTTAGGTTTAATAAAACAGATGAAGAATGGATTATCGCTGACAGAAAAAGGTCGATTACTTTTACCGAACAATATTACACGAGATCGTGTTTTATATTGGTTACAAGATCGTTACTTAATCAAATGGTTACCAACCTCATCACTAACGTCAAAATATTATTCATCAACTTGTCCTGATGTATTTGCTGAAATAGCTAACGATCCTGAATTAATGAATTTGTCACAAAGAGTTTTAAGTTCGTATGCTGAACAAGATTGGAAAGGCATCGAAACGATTCTTCCACTGCATTCTAACCAGAAGATTGTCGATTTAGGTGGTGGTTTAGGAACTCTGTTAAAACAAATAATCCATTCTAATTTTAAATTATCGGCTGATCAACATTTCATTTGTTTCGATCGTCCAGAGGTTATTGCTAAAGCAATTGAACAAAATCAATCTCAACCAAGTAATATTGAATTTGTTAGTGGAGATTTATTTTTTAGCCACTTACCAATCGGTGATTTAAATATTCTCTCTCGTATTCTGCATGATTGGCCTGATGATAAGGTTCAACAACTTTTAACTCGAATTCATGAGCAATCATTAGATAGCTCTCGTTGTACATTATGTGTAATTGAAAGAGAAGTTGATAATATTCGTAGTCATTCATTATTATCTTTACACATGTATTTATTACAACGAGCACATGAACGAACACGATCAGAATGGAATAAGCTTTTTGAATCGTCGGGATGGTATGTTCAACAAAGAATACCGTTTTCTGGACACACAGTAATGTTATTAGAGAAAGAAAAAGCAACATCCACAATTTCTATGGTAATATATTAATCTTAGATCTTTATGAACAGTTGATTATTATGAAATCAACTGGGTTAATTGCAGAAGAGAGTTGCGTGACTTTCATTAGAAAAACTTTCATTAAAGCGTTTTCTTTTAATGGAAGTATCGGAACTTTTCCTTAAAAGTTTTTTAATAAAAATCCCGGTACTTTCATTAAAATATCTCATGCAAAATGACTGTGAACTAACTTCCTTTTAATGAAAGCTTTTAAATGTAAAATTGTTTAATGAAAGTCCGGTATCCCGTAGAAGAGGCTAACGAGGGAACCGTTTCTACAAATCTGATATTCATTTCGACCCATATGACTTTCTAGTGAGTGGATCTCTAGCAACCAGGTCTCTGAGATCCACCCCGGATAGTTGAACGAAGAGATTCTGATATGGCCGGTTTGTTGAACAAGTCGAGTTACGCAGGTACACAAGTTTTCACAGATACCAAAGAAGTTCTCTCAGAGATATAAAATTTTTAATGTAAGAAAAACTATCACGTATATAATTTCCAGAAGCGATGAAGGTAAAAATTTTGCATCTCTGAGAGAACGTGTTTGGTATGTCTGGAAACTTGTGTACCTGTGTAACTTGACTTGCTCTACAAACTGGCCATATCAGAATCTGTTCGTTCAACCATCCGTAGTGGATCTCCAGAGGCCTGATTGCTAGAGATCCATACTAGAAAGTCACATGGACCGAAATGAATATCAGATTCGTAATCAGCATAAAAAATAACCCATGAAAAAGTATGTTTTGATTAAATCGGGGTGAATCACTTGGAACGGTTCCCTCGTAAGCTAGTGTTGAAAGTGATTTGGTTGATCTACTCAAAAAACACTACATTAATCTAATTGTTAACTATATTCAATGCGGTGTACAGCAGTAACCGCATTCTAGTAATCAGCTTCGTGTTTTTTCCTATCCCTCTTTGTCGTCATTTTCTGTAACGATTTTCCCAAGAAGTGAACGTGGTCTCTTGAAACTTGAAAAAGCAGTAGAGAGTCCTGTGTCGTAAGTTTTTCTTACCATTGTAGGACATTCATGTTCTTATCTGCAGTGTATGAAAGTAGATCGATTGAAGTTTCGGGATTTAAAAATTTTCAAGCAAAAAGCGATAATTAATTAATTAACGCACGTTATAAAATGAAAACACTCGTTTTCGAAGTTGGCTTGTGAACATTATGCCTGTTTTCAGAAATAGATCGTATGAATCACCAGTGTTTCCTCGCCTTTAAGTGCAGTGCAGCTTTAGAAAAAACTTAGTCTACTTAGGCCATCTTTGATGGATTACATCTAGTACGACTCATTTATAGCGAATCCCTATAGGAATCAACATTTTACGCCTTACTAGTACTCAGCTTACTCGACTGTAGGGGCTTCGCACCGCATTCGCAATTTTGCATAGTATAATTGCCGTCCAGTTCATTCATAGTAATTTTTTGATTTTTTGTAGACTGAAGTTCCCATAGAAAAAAATAATTTAAAAAAAAATCAATCAAAGCTTCAAGTACGAAAAGCTGTTATTCCTATAGCTGGTTTAGCTACACGAATGATGCCACAAAGTTTTGTTCAACCAAAAGTTTTATTACCAATTGTTCAAAAAAATGACACATGGCATGTACGTCCAGCATTACAACTATTATTAGCTGAAATTTTGTCATCTGATACTGGCATAGAACAAGTTGCTTTAATTACTTCACCTGGTCAACTACATATACTATATTCTTACTTAAAATCAATCGATTATCTATCTACAAATCAAATTCGAGTGATCATACAATTAGAACCGTTAGGATTTGGTCATGCTATTTTACAAGCAGAAGAATTTATTGACGGTGAACCGTTTTTGGTTGTATTAGGCGATCATTTATTTCGTTCAAATGACAATAATAATGATCGATCGTGTGTTAAGCAAATGATAAACTGTTTTCATTATTCTTCCGTCATTGATCCACTGTCTAGTTGTTTGACTAGTGTTGGAATTTGTTCTGAAACAGAAATTTCTGAGACTGGTCTACTTCAAGGGCATACTAGAAATACTGATGATCGTTTATTCAAAATCACAGATATGGCAGAGAAACCGTCAATTGACATTGCGCGTCAAAAATTTGTGCCTTCACGTTCATTAAAACTGGGAGAAAATGAATATTTGTGTCAATTTGGTATTGATATTTTGTCTTCATCAATTTTTACAATACTTCGTTCTTTAACAGGATCACGTCAAGAACTTGGATTACGAGATGCGATGCAACATATCCAACATAAAGGACAATTATTTGGTTATAGAGTTAATGGTACTCGTTACGATCTTGGAAATCCTCAACGGTATTGGGAAACGTTAAAAGCGTTTGCTGACCCATCTTTACCAAAAAAGTTTAATGGAACATTCTCAGCATCGATGTCCGAGCCTCAAACAGACGTTGATTTCGTGTGGCATTTATTGAATCGAATACGCTTACCATCGTCACATAAACATTCTGTTCAGTCTATTTTCTTATCAGGGTGTCCAGTTTTTGTTTCAAGTGCTCCAGCTCGTTTGGACGTTATGGGAGGTAAGTGTTCACTGATTCATTGAGGTGCGCAGCCCAATAAAAACGTTTAATATCGCGTTTAAATACATACATCTTCCTTTTCTTTGGTTCAGGCATTGCCGATTATTCGGGTTCACTTGTATTGCAGTATCCATTAGCCCAACGAACATTTGCTTTTGTTCAATCGAATTTCGAGCAACCATTAATAAAAATTATTAGTGTACATTTGAATGATTTAAAAAAAAGTTCAAATAACAATGAAATATCACCAATGATTTGGGAAAAAACGTTATCAAGTGATATTTTATTTGAATCAAGTTCAAGATTGAGCACATATGAGACCATACAACATCGATTACTTCAATGGCAAAATGATAGATCTACTAAATTTGAAGAGGGAGAACCTGTAAACTGGATTTATTATCTCGTTGGTATATTACACTCATTGATGGGTCATAAACAACTGAACGGATCTATACCAAGAGGTTTCAGTATTGTTATTGTTTCTGAAGTCCCATGTAATAAAGGTTTAGCGTCTTCCGGAGCTCTAGAAATTGCCATGGGAGGAGCAGGTGAATATTCTATACATTGAAACTTTTACAACAAACTAAAACATCTGCTGAATATTTTTTTCTTATAACAAGTTCATGTCTTGATGTGCAACTAAGTGGGAGTGATTTGGCTTTATTATGTCAAAGAGTGGAAAATCATGTTGTTAGAAGTGGATGCGGTTTTATGGATCAAATGACAAGTGTTTATGCTCAACAAAATCAATTTTTATCGCTTTTATGTCAGCTACCAAATCCACCGCATACCAATGTTTCCCTACCATCAGGACTAAGATTATTTGCGTTGGATTCTGGTGTTAAGCGTTCAACATCAAGTGATGCCTATCGCCGTGTACGCACTGCTGCTTTTATGGGCCATAAAATACTAAGTAAATCTGATGAAGTTGATCAGCCATTTAATTATTTATGCAATATTCCACTCTCTCAATTTAATGCCCATTTTCGTTCACGTTTACCATTGCAAATATCGGCTGAAGATTTTTCAGAACAATATGGAGAACATTCAGATCCTATCACAAAACTATATATGGATGAAATCTATCCTCTATTAAATGCCACCAAACATCCAATTGAAGAGCATTTCCGTGTCACTACATTCCAGAACATACTTAAATCATCAAATATGTCATCACCATTATTATTTAAAGAAAATATGGAAATTTTAGGAGAACTGATGCTCCAGTCACATTTCAGTTACTCAGCCTGTGATCTGGGAAGCGATGAAACCGATTTGTTAGTCGAACTGGCAAAGCAAAAACAAGGATTATTATTCGGAGCAAAAATTACTGGCGGAGGTGGAGGTGGAACCGTAGCAATCTTGGCTTCCGATAGTGATGCGGCATCAAGGGCTGTACAAGAAGTTGTTGATACATATAAAAAAAAGACTAACCGTCTTTGTACAATTTTCTCAGGTTCTTCAGACGGTCTAACACGTTATAAACCAATTAAGTGTTAGACTTCTTTCTTAGTGTAATTATTTGTCAGTAATCTTTTTATGAAAATCTACGCATGCAAGTGAGAAAACAAATTTCTTTTGTTTATTACTTTAGCTGAAAGGACAAGTGGCGGTAAGGTCATTTTTCTACCTTCAACATTTTCCAAAACAAGATTGCGTGGTTAGATTTAGCATCAAATTCTATACAGAACTGTCCATTCGCATTTTTGACAAATTCAGTTTCATTTTTCTCAAAAAATTTCAGCTCTGGCCTCCCGGACCCACAACTTCGGAAAATTGTTTCCCAGAGTTTTAATAAGTACTTCAGTCAATGCAGTTTTTCATGGTGATTAGGAATATCATATTGGTTTTGGATGCACATCAACAATGGGCAGTAAAAGTGAGAAACTGAAAAGTTCCACACATATTTTCGATGTACATCGTTAAAATATCATAAGAAGTGAATATAAAAGTATAAAACTCTATTTCTAAAAATTTCAGTTTTTAACGTCGCTGATGGGGGCAAGGTAGAATTTTTGGCGTAAAATTACAGTTCTTGATAACTCATGAAATGTAACTCGTTTGACTCCATTTTTATGTAGCTTCCCAATATAGGATTAATTCTTCGCTTAAGTTTTGCTTTGATGCCATAAATAAACAAACACCGCTCAGAACTTACTCAGTTTTGGTTTCAAATTAGGCTATGAAGTACGTCTTTTTCCACTTTTAAGGTCGTATTCGGAAAGAGCATAGAAAACTGCATCGAACCATGTATAGATTCATTGAATGGAGACTTAATTATAAGGCAAAATATTCTACAAGTAGGCAAAAAATTTTGGGCTAATTTTTCAGTTTACGACCAAAAATAATAAAATTTAATTTTTTCATGGCCTTATTTTACATGTGTTAGATAGAACAAACACTTGTACACATGGAATATCTGTTATTTACTTATTTCGGACTCGGCTGATACTCAAAACTTAATACATGTCAAAAAATACTGTATTAAAAAGCATTTTCTACACTTCTCGTCGATTGTGCACCAGGGTAAAAAGGTTTAAAAAATACAGTTTCACCGTCAATGATAGAACACAAAATACAATTCCTAATCCCTCGCCAACTTGAGCACATTTTGTCGATGGTGGTTCACTTAGAAAATATAGTCACGGAAATACCATGCCAAGTGTCATTAACTATTGGCCTTTTTTCATATCAGCGAACAAAAAATAAAGCTGATTGTATATTGATGGAAAGTACTTTTCGTATCCAGCACACTTGATAACCCAGAAGATGTTCTATTTTTTAGCGAGGAGTACTTTCAAAAGTTTAGAAAAAATTTTCAAACTAATATTATTTTTTCACTGAATTCTTTTTGTACCATTTTATTTCAAAATTTTCCCTAAACTTTTAGAAGTACTCCTCGCCAAAAATAGAACATCTTCATCTAGTGTGCCGGATACGAAAAGCACTTTCCATCAACTCGAAATCAACTTTATCTTTTTCGTTTCGGTGATATATATGCTTAGCAGTTTTTTTACTTTAGAAACTGTTTTATCGTAAAGTACGAGAGAATTTCTCTATATATTTAGCTCGTTCAATATACTTAACTAAAAGATTAAACGAGTATGAATTTATCACTTGTGTACTACCTGTGTCATTCTGGTTAATTCATTTTTCTCTTTTCAGCTTGTCAATTTTTTGTTATCTCAATCAAGGTAAAAAGAAGAGGGCATTAAAAGTTGAAGAAATTACATTTATTTCTCATATTTCTCTCGCAAATAAGTACACGGTAAGTATTCATATCAGACAATGGTCTCTTTATTTCTAACATTATTATCATCTATTTTACTTAGATTACTCTCAAAGTTCTTCTTTGTACCTTTTACACGTTCTCTTGTTACTTAGCTACATGATAAGCAAGTTTATTGCTTTTCATGGTAGTCTTATTTTTGCGTTAAATACAAGAGTGAGAGGAGAGTGGAAAATTAATCATATAAAAAACACGGACAGCTGTTGTTTCCTAACGATTGACTGCCCATATCGGATTGTTCTGATCATTGCACACACCACCATTCTCGAATATTTTTTCATCGGAAAACAACCTGTTTTGGATGCCGCCGTTTCTGAAAGTGTTCCAATTTCTAATATATCCAACTCTTTTGCAATTGTTGAATATATTAGAGCCGAGTGTCTTTTCTTGCCGATGTCTCATAATTCGTTCTTTGACTTTACTTATGCTGTCTGTTGTTCGAGCTCTACATGTGCGCCACGAAGATGTCGACAAATTGATAGCGTAGAACATTTTGATTCAACGCCAAATTTCCGACATGAATAACAATGCTCAAATCGTGAAAGATTTTTGATGGACAGTCTCCATTTTCGTGTTTAGGACGTAACTTAGAATCCGCTTAAGATCTTTACTTCTCTTCCTATAAAAATTTTCTCTAAAATAACTTATTCAAAATTTGCACACCTTTTTTGTAGAGAATTTGATGGCAAAACTTTTTAGAAAAAATTCACTCCAAGAGATCTGCGAAACATAAGAAAAAAAGAAAATACAAAATGTAGCATTCTTTTTGACACACCCGGAAGACCATAGAGTGGCATGTACAAATAAGACAAAAAGTTTTGCTTTTCAGTTCAAATTTTTTCATGCGATATACTACAAGACAAGATTATCGACGGAACATATTTAAGTCTGATGCTGAGATTTAAATGAGATATACTGTGTCTAGACAAGTCAGATAGGCGGATTCCAAACACCACATTTTCAAGCGCCCCTGTTACATGCTTGCTGAATGATCTTCTATGCGTTTCTCCTATGGTCGATAAACATTCGACCTTCAGTCTATTAAAAAACACATTTTTGTCAGATAAGTAAATAATGTTCTCTTCACAAAAGTGAGATAGTAACCCGTCAAAGAAAAAAAGCAAAAGTCCTTAAAAAGCAACTGTGCAGAGAAAGACCAAACAAAGCATTGATAGTCACATTTTTCGGTTCGCTTTGCATGAGTTTGTACGCAGACGAAAAATGTGAAAAAGCACGCGTGCGGTTGGATCAGTCAGCTACTTTATCCTAAAGAAGAGAGTAACAAGTGTATGAGAAACGTAGAAACAAATAACCGTGTAGTAAGAATAGTAAAGACAAGCAAAGAAATTCAAGGAGAAATAAATCAAAACACCTGTGTGACTTCGTTTATTTTCACACTAATGCGTGATAACACAAAAAGAATGACATATCGGGTAGTCCAGATATAATGATTTTTGTTTTGTTTAGTGTTCTTATCCATACAGTCTCAATCTTTTTGGAATTTTTTTACCAAACGATGCGCCGTGAAATTCTCAACAAAACTATACCGAAACGTAAGTTTCAAGACTTCCATCAGGAAAACTATGCAAATTATACCAATGGGGAAAAAAACGAAACTTTATAAACTTAAAAACGATTTACTGTTTTAACGATTTGAAAGTAAGAAAACCTGAATCCATAGATGTAATCGGTTAAGATTTTCTCGACTCGGCCGGTAGCCGGTCTAAAAACATTTCTGGCCGGTTGACCGGTCATATACTTTCTTTCGGTCAGTCGAAACCGTTTTTGAAACCCCCTCGAAGTTTGTATCATTAGAATTGCAGAAGACATCTGGGACGCATGAACACCTACTTTTTGGTTCACAAACTCAATAGTTCGAGCTGAAATTTTTACTGTCAACTGTCTAAAGTTAGGTACACACTCAGTGAAAATTAATTACTATGCTCTTTCTCCACCAGTATTACCATTACTATATTGGTCTGTTCAAGAACAAAAGCAATAGAAATAAATTCTTCTATCTTACCATCATCATCATCGTGATCCATCCATTATAATTAAACTAAAATAAAGAAAAGACGAAGAGACAAAGAAAAGAAAAAAAAAGAACAGAAAAGGCAGCAGCAGGACAAAATTATGGTCAATGGAATGACGATAACGTTAAAAAGATGATTATATTAGAACAATTAGATTGGATCGGTAATGTGGATGGTGGTGGACGTCTGATAATTTTGGTTGAAAAATCCGGCGGTGGTGGCAGCTGGTCTCGAAGACTATCTTGCAATACTCTTCGCACAAAAGACCGATTTATTCGTCGCCATTGCGCTTTCCAATCCAAAACCACCACCCACCATCGTAACGGTTGCCTTTTAAGACTGACACCGTTTCGACATCGTATACCGATTCATTTCAGTTTGTACACTAATATGATTTATCAGAATTAGGTTTAAATTCTTCAGTTCCTTTTCTTTATTCTATGCTGCTTTGAATCTTTTTCCTGTCTTTGTCTGTGTGAGTGAGAAAGTGAGTTGACACGAGTGTGCGAGCGCAAACACCTAACGGTAGAGGAGTGCTAAGGCTTCAGGAAAAATGTCCATAGCCACCGAACCATGGATTTCAAAGATGTCGTTCAGATTCAGTTTTCTCGAGTACACTTCAGACTAGATATCTACGAAAACAATCCATAGATTTCTATGTCAGTTTTCGGAGAACTGAACTAGCTTCCACAGATCTCCGAAAAACGGGTACATGAATTTTTTCTAAACTGTTTTTGCTTATGAAAACAAAGCTTCAGGTCTCGGCTAGCGAATGATGAAAATCGCAAGTCTCTATAATTTACTCTTTTTGAGTTATTCTAAAAATAACCAGCGACATTGTATTTTGGCATCGACAGTAGTGCGACAAACATTAAACGAGCAAGAAAAACAAACGGAATATTCACAAAACAGAGATTATCCGTTCTGTTGTCAAAGACTATTGACAAATAAAGAGAAAATCAAACTAACTTTTTTAATGTGAAATACGAAAATGTTTGCGTTACTTAGCTCAGCAAATTCGTTTTCCACAAAGTGCTGATTTTTCAGACGAAAAAAAGTTGTTTTTTCTGTCGCATTAGAAAATTAGGTACTTTTGCTGCGCAGCACCAAATTAGGTAAAAATTGGGCGCTATGTGCAAAATTTTTCGGTGAATCCGACAGCGGGTTCCTTATAATTA